CTTAAAAGTTATTGGCCAAACTGGGAGAGGCCTGAGGCGCACGCGTGCTTAGTGGCCGTGCGAGACAGGCACGCGCCTGGCCCAAGAGACGCGCCAAAAAATTGCAATGAGGTGACTTCATGCAAGCGTGACAGGAGAGGTCACTACAGGATTGCTTAACCTGATATCAGTCACACATAATACTGCTAACAGACTTGATTTTTTTGTTTAGTATTGTTCGGTGGGAGAGTGCAAATAGCACAGAAGGCTTTATTGGACTCCGCGCGAGTCAACGATGTGTGCGAGAACGAAACTTTGTGTGCTCTTAATGTCGCCTTTCCTCAACGGCACCGGGAGCTGTGCCCGTAATTTTTTCGAACATGTGCCGCCACATTCGACCGATATAACCTGCTCCATAGGAGCAGGAGTATAAGTAAATGTACACTAAGTTGGTCTGCACTGGGACACTATAATGGCCATTTCTGGCTTATTTGCTATCATCAGGTAGTGATGCTCAACTTTGTCGGTAATGTCCTTCTGCCTATATCCTAGCCGCCCCGCGATGGAGGCTCGAGTGAGAGCCCTAATGGCAACATGGACGGATGAGTGTGTCCTCTATCAGATCGGTGTACGCGTATCTGCCAGCATACAAGTTATTATTTGGGGTCCTAACGGCCTGGAGTTGGATTTTGTCAGACTGATTCGACGAAGTACACAGAAATAACCATTTTAAATTCCTCTGTTTTAGTACATAAGCAATCAACGTGAGGAGCCTCGCAGTCGTGAAATACTAAGACACGGAAAGGGACCTGAGTTCACTTAGTCGCATTTCCCGTTAGTGATTGTAAACAATTGGTGCGCAAAGACTTTTAGCAGCCTATTCCGTAGAAAGCAATAAATAAATTAATTGTATCGCATTTCTGTTTTGTTTGAAGTATCGAACAGACTCAAAGCAGAGGATTATGCATACTTGTGAACAAAACACAAGTCCAAAGCTCAGAGCACAGACCCTATCCTAGATTTCTTGCAATTATTGATCTGCTCACTTCAGACCAGTTTCCCTCGGGAATTCTAGGCAGGGACTTCCGGCTTAAGTAGAACACAAAACTACCCTAAATCCCAATGCTTTTATTAGTCGACGTAGTTATCAGGCACTGCGATTTGGTAGCCTCTGCTTAATCGGCGTTTTCGTTCAGCCTCTCATCGGCCTGTCGCGGAAGTTATGCGAGAGCGAGGTGAAATCAGTCACTCCCTCGCAATCTAGCCACCAGCCTTTCGCCGCCCCCCAAATATTTATCAACAAAGGCAACAGCCACGGCTGCCTGGGCAGGCGAAAATCACCCAATCAATGCACAGCAGCTCCAGCCAATCAGATGAACGCCAGAAAGTGAGTGGATGGGTGGCTGTCCACCAGGCCGATGAGAATAAGTGTCACCTTGAGCCACAGCCGTGTTGCTAAGCGACGAGGTCTATAGTCTCCGTCCACATCACCTACTGACCACTGCAAAGTCTCTTCACTGACGAGGCGTTAAACGAAAACGTCCTAGAGAGATAGAAATAGAACAAAATGACAGATACAGCACCCGCAGAGCATACCACAGAGAAGACGCCCGCGGAGGGAACACAGCCCGCAAAAGAAGAGGAAGCAGCCCCAGCGCCGCCAGTTAAACAAACAAAATCCATCTACTTGACCGGCTTTGGAGGGCCGAAATATGTGCGCGTTCAGGCCAAAGACCAGAAGACGGTTGGGAAGGGAGAGATAGCCGTGGAAGTTGAAGCTTGGTAAGTACAAGCGTGCAACCTGCGGTTGATTGATTTAGCGAAAATAGTTGGCTGTAGGGCTCTAAAAGAGCAGTCAGAAAATTAGGATTCTTCCATTTCCAAAAGCGCATTTTTGGTAATAAACATACTACGAACTTTTAGGACTTTTTGGAATAGGTATAGACAGTCACAGTCTTTTTAGATATATTTTCGTGACTTCTGTCTACTTTTAGTTCCATTGGGCAAATTAATAGTATTTTGCTCGCCTACTTAAAACCTGAAGAAAACTACTATTAGTATTTATAAAAAAATGATTAGTCCGGTGAATATTCAAGGATTGGTGGATTGCCTTACCGGTATACGGGCTGGAAGAATGTTCCACAGGCAGTAATTTTGGAAATAGGTGAGTAAAATGAAACAGTGTTGGGGTTGTTGATTAACATTGCGAGAATGTTTAGCCTGCGATATGAGACAAAGCCAATTCCTGCAGGATGATCTGTGGAATTCCTAAAAGGAAGCTTAGTTAAATTATAAAATGAAACTGAATTCAAGCAAATATATAAATCAAAACCCTAAGCTGAACACTACCTATTCAGCAAAATGTTTTACCTTTCATCTTGGCTATTTGTGTACAAATAAGTATATTCATAAAAATGTGCACAAATATATCATTTTTCTTTTCCGGTCCCGGGAAAATTTATGGTTCCTTTGAAAACAATGCCTGAAATATCCAACGGTTATCTG